ATTCAGAATACATGAATATTTTCAGTTGGAAATGTTAAAATCAATTATTCTTTATTCTAATTGTTGTACTACTACTAGAGTAAGGCAAGAATAACCTCTCTACATTCATTTTTACTTACAAATTAAAGCTAGTCCAACTTCTAAATGCTTCAGAAATTTCTGATTCAAATAGCTTTCAAATATCACATAATCAACCCAAACTTTAGTTTTCTCATATTGCTAACAAATGTAATTTTAACAAAGTAAGTCTTCTATAAATACATAGTATGTTTAAAAAAAAAAAACAGAAATGTTCATCTCTGAATTGTGATGAGTATATATTTTTATCATAATTGGAACAGAAATAAAACACATGGGAGCTTGGGAGCCAGAATGTAAGGATTTGAAATCTGACTCAACCCATTTTCTAGCTGTGTTACTTTGGAAACTTATATGACTTCTCTGAATTTCAGCTAAATAAGCTAATATTTAGAATACATTCTGATACGTCCCCAAAAAGACTTAGCTGTTGTTAACCTGGAGGAAGTAATTACTACAAGCAATCCCCCTAATTTAATGGGAAATTCTTGTAAAGCAAGAATAGGTAATCCACAAATCTCCTTCAAGTGTAATTAAATTTTTATAATACAAAATTTAACAGTTAATGAAGATGATATAGCACATTTCAGAGACATTTAATTAAACATTAATTGCTTCAATCTTACAGCTTTCTTTTGGCATTCTGAGTCAATCTTTTTTCTTTTCTCTCTGTTCTCAAATATTTTTATTGGCCTAACTTCACAGACAAAATGGCCTTGGCCAAGGTAAATGGGACTGCTATGAACTCTAACGTTTCTGGCCCTAAATTCCATTCCTGTGGTAGCCAGCCTGCTGGAGAATATTTTTGCTCTGCAAGAGTTTGGAAAGGATTCTAGACATTTTGGAAAGGTTACTAAGCAGTAATTCAAAGAGAGGAGAGTAAAGCAAAATCTCAGATATTGTTGTTGAGCCAAAATTCTTAAATTACTTTTGGCTAAGTTCAGAGTTTATGCCAAAACTTGGGCTGAGGCTGACCCTGCAATTGGCACAAATAGGAGAAAGTGATTTAGTAGAGGTTGGAACTGAAAATGATCCAAGAAAGAATATCCTCTTGAATAGAATAAAACTGTTCCTTGAGAGACACATGGCTATCATGTCGTTATAATCCCAAAATGCTTAGCATTATGTGTTCAAAGAATAAAAATAAAAATTTGCCTCAATACATAAAATGAACAAAATGTTATTTAATATTTCAAAATAGTTTTAATTTCAAATGCTGTTATTTAGAAAAACCTATAAGAACAAAGATAAGAAATGTGTGATGATATTTTTAAACTCTAAGACACCAGTTTTTAAACTATAGAGCATAGTGTGCCATGAGGGAAAAATTATTTCACAGTTGATCTTAACCAAAAGGCTGAGACGCGATACAGGAAAAATTATTTCAAAATAATTTGAAGTAATAATAGGACACCAGTTGCCCTTATTAATTTGCATTTTTAAAAATGTATTTCAACAGCTCTGATGGGGGCCAACACTATGGCATAGGAGGGAAAGCAGCTGCCTGCAGTGCAGGCATTCCATGCGACCACCAGTTTGATTTCTGTATGCTCCACTTCCAATGTGGCTCCCTGCTAATGTGCCTGGGAAAGCAGTGGGAGATGGGCCAAGTGCTTGAAACCCTGACACCCATGTAAGAGAACTGGATGAAGTTCCTGGCCCCTGGCTTTGGATGGGCCCAGCTCTGGCCATTGCAGCCATTTGGGGAGTGAACCAGCAGATGGAGATCTCTCTCTGTCTCTCCCTCTCACTCTCTGAACTTTGCCTTCCAAATAAATAAACAAATCATTAAAAAAATGAATGAAAACATTCATAGATTTAAAAAAATAATGGATAAAACTGACGGTGCCTTATCACAACTCAGGGCAGTGCAGCACCGGGCACCAATAGTGATTGTATTCTCCACCACTATTGAATCTAAGAGAAAAGGAACACAAGGGGGGAAAAATTCAAGAATGTCTTTGATGAAATAGTAAAAGTTTTTACTCTTATTAAATTTCAACTCTCCAAAACACCTTTTTTAGTATTAGGTAAAATGTAATGATAAAGACTTTCTGCTACTCACTAAAATGTAATGTTGTTTACAGAAAGATGTGCTTTTTAAAGTTTTATGTATTTATTTAAGAGACAGAGATAGACAGAGTTCTCAGCCACTGGTTCACTTCCCAAAAGCCCACAACAGCCAGGGTTGGTCCCAGACCCAGGGCTGAAGTCAGAAGCTGCAAACTCAATCCAGGTCTCCTACGAGGGTGTTGGGAACTCAACTGCCTGAGCCGCCATCACTATCAGGGTCCACATTAGCAAGAAGGTGAAATCAAGAGCTGGAGCCAGGAGTCAGAGTCAGGTACTCTGATGTGGGACGTGGGCACCTTCGCTGTTAACCTGAAGGCTGACCCCAGGAGAAGAACAAACTGAACCAGCCATTTTTGCACAGATCACATTTTACTTGATGGAATAAGTTGCAACAAATGATGATACTCACAGCTGGGCATTTGGCAAGGCTTTCTTGCAAAAAAAAAAAAAAATGGATGTAAGGAGGTTGCCATTTCATGGAAAATTGTAAGCTTGATAAATTTTAACATTTGCAAGCAAGCTTAAAATTAAGATTTCTGAAAATTTGTATCTGTCCCCATGAGCTTGGTCTCAAATACTTCTTTGAGTTCAGCACTGTGGCACAGCAGGTTAAGCTACCACCTGCAACTCCATCATCCCACATGAGCACTGGTCCAAGTCCCAGCTGCTCTCCTGCCAATGCAGCTCTCTGCTAATGATCCTGGACAGCAGCGGAAAATAGCCTGAGTGTTTGGGCCCCTGCAACCCACGTGAGAGAGGAGAATGGACTTCCTGACTCTGACTTAACCCATCCCTAGTCATTGTGCCCATTTGAGAATGAACCAACGGATGAAAGATCTCTCTCTTTTTCTCCCCCTCTCTCTGTAACTCTGTCTTTTGGATGTCCTCATTATCTATATGATTTCCTTTTTTCCGAAGATTTATTTTATTTATTTGAGAGAAGAGTTACGAGAGAGCTAGAGACAGAGAGAGGTCTTCCATCTACTGGTTCACTCCCCAGATGGCCACAACAGCCGGAGCCGAACCAATCTGAAGCCAGGAGCCAGGAGCTTCTTCTGGGTCTCCCCCGTGGGTGCAGGGGTCCAAGCACTTGTGCCATCTTCTACTGCTTTCCCAGGCCATAGCAGAGAGCTGGATCAGAAGAGGAGCAGCCAGGACTTGAACCGGCACCAATATAGGATGCCAATGCTTCAGGCCAGGGCTTTAACCCACTGTGCCACAGTGACAGCCCCAATGTAACTCTGTATTTCAAATAAATAAATAAATAGATCTTCTCTCTCTCTAAGAGACTTGGTGATATTAACGAATATGGTTGCATTAGTCAGCTTTTTATCACTACAATAACATACCTGACTGACTTTACGAAAACAAAAAGGCTTATTTAACTCACAGTTCTGGAGATTCAAATCTAAAATTGAGTGGCCCTCTGATAAGGGCATGGAAAACAATGGAGGGTCATGTATTGAAACAAGTGGTCACATCCTGAGCCAGCATGTAGAGAAAGACACTGGGCACAACCTCCAGCATTTGTAACAATCCTCTCATGAAAACCACCTTTCAAGGACACACTCCCAATGACCTAAGGAATTCCACCAGGCCAAACTTCCTAAAAGTTTCAGCACCTCCCAGTAAATAGCACTACTCTTAGACCAAGCTTTTAACATTAGGGACCTTTGGGAGACACTTAAACCAATATCAAAACTGTAGCAATGTTATTTTTATTTCATATAATAAAATGAATCAACATTTAGAGGATTTGCATAGTTCAGGGAACCATTATTTTCCACTTGACCAGTGACTATTATAGCACATCTATTCAAATAAAAAGGAGACCAGTGAATATTAATGTAAGAATATGAAAATGTATTGATCTGATCTAAGAAGACATATTACAACTAGCTTCTTAAAAGTTATCATTTATTGGGGCCGGCACTGTGACTCACTTGGTTAATCTTCCACCTACGGCACCGGCATCCCATATGGGCGCCGGGTTCTAGTCCCACAGTTGCTCCTCTTCCAGTCCAGCTCTCTGCTGTGGCCCGGGAGTGCAGTGGAGGATGGACCAGGTTGTTGGGCCCCTACATCCATCTGGGAGACCAGGAAAAAGAACCTGGCTCCTGGCTTCGGATCGGCGCAGTGCCAGCTGCAGCAGCCATTTGGGGCGTGAACCAATGGAAGGAAGACCTTTCTCTCTGTCTCTCTCTCTCTCACTGTTTATAACTCTACTTGTCAAATAAATTTAAAAATAAAAAGTTATCATTTGTTGCATGAAGTTTGCATACCTTAAATAAAAGCTTTCTAGGTAAAAAAAAAATAAAGAAAAAAAATAAGCTATCATTTGTAGAATTTTGGTAGAATAGCAAAGAATAATATCCTCGACTATCTGAAAAGGCTATTAAATACCCTCCCATTTCCACTTACATATTTCCATGAGCCCATGTTTTCTTCATATACTTCAACCAGAACAACACGTTACAACATAAAATATGCAGAAGCAAACATAAGAGTGTAGGTGTTGTTCATTAAACCATGGATTGTAAATAATTACATATACAGAAAACAATGAGCCACTTAATTAATATCTTTTATTTAGAAAATAGACTTCATAAAAATATGCAATTTTGTTAATATGTAATAGTTTTTGAATTTAAATTAATAAATAGCTATCTTGACTTTCTTAGTTTCAATTTCCAATATACAATATTGGACAATTCATATAAAAGAGCTGTATACGCAGACATTTTCAGAAGTTAAAGAGTGCTGTGACCAAAGATCTTGAGAGCTGCCTCCCTAGGGTTAAATGTGCTGTAAGCCAGCAGCTATTATGACATCAGCATCAGGTCATCGGTGACCACAGGAAGGATTCTGTGCTGCTGATCAGTATTTCACCAAGCCCTCCAGCCGGGCTGCCTTCTGTGAAGCGAACCATCTAAGAGTACCTGCTATTACCTTTGATGCTCTCCATAGGGCATTCTATGATGTTACCAGGAAAGAAATCCAGCCAACAGTAAGAGAAAGGCCATTTCCTTCTGACATTTCTTCTTTCTGTGATTCTAGTCACATTTCCCAACATCTTGCCTCTTGTTTCACAATGAAAGATGTACATGTTTCACACCAGAAGAGTAAAAGCTACTGCAGGGAAGATGTGGACTTCAAATCTCTCCAAGATCAGACAATCTGTTAAAAATGCTTATGAAAAATGTAAGATCAAGCACCCATATTTTTTTGCTGGCTATCCAACCATGACTTCCTACAACTGTGATCAAGAAGATGTCAGTTCTGGTGAAGAAATGAGTCTTACAGTAATTCTCCAAGATGTTAAAATGGCCCAAATCCAACTTCTCAACCAAATGACCGATGTTGTCAATTCAATATCAAAAATCCAGGAAACAACTGACCGCTACAAGAAGCAGATGGAGCAACTGGAAATTAACATGAGTGTTAATGAAGACCAACAATGCACAACAACTAAAGATATCCTTTCTATGAAAGAAACCATTGACACTTTGAAGAAAAAGATAACAGAACTGGAAAAACAAAATTCTTGCTTCAGTATCCATTGTTTAGAGGTTCTGGAGGGAGAAAAAGAGAAAGAAACCTTAGAACTGCTTCACAAACTCATACAAACAAAAGCTCTGAACGCATCGGCCTCCACTGGCTCTGAAATCTCCCCAGTAGAGAAAGTGCCCAATCATCCAGAACCCATTGCTGATTCTGAGAAAAGGACAATTTCCCCCAAAATTAAAACTTGGACAAAAAATAAGCACCACAATTCATCAAGAAGTTTGAAAAGGGCAAACTCAAATATTTATATTTATCCAGACTTTAACACATGGGTCAAGCTGACTTTTGTTCATGGTGGAAAGTGGAGATTTTTCCTCAGTGCTACCAAGTTAGAGGAATTCATCCAGTGGCTCCTGTCTCGGCCAACCATCCTTCCCAAGGAACCACAGATCATACCCAAAAGAGACTGTCCATTCACCAGACCTATTGTGAGCTTCACAGCAATCTGTCTCTCTGTTGTCAACTATATTTACTGCCTTTTTGGTTCCTCAAAAGAGGAAGTAACTCGACTGTAGAGATATCTTCTGCTTTGCTTGGTACAAAATAAATGTGACCTGGTTGCTGCAAGCATTTATTCACCTTTGTGGTGGCTGTGAATTCCATGGTAACTGTTCACTTTGGACCCACTATCTGCAAGGCTGCATTAAATTAAGGCACTCGACTACTGTCATCTATTTCCCGTCAATGTTGTTGTCTTCTCAAAGGCAATCCATGAGGATGCATCCTTTGTCCATTTCATAGACAATTAGAGGAAAAGAATAAAAAAAAAAATCCAGGGAAATGTGAGACACATCTGGTAGCCCCAGTCAATTTTCTACATAATTTTGTCTTAGCGGCTTTTGTAGATAAAATTTGTGATACTAGAGACATACTCAACTGACAACATTTTCAATGGCATAGAGTGGAAATGATAATGTTAAAGCTACTAAAGTCAGCTGTACAAAAATGAAAAATTGAAAGCCCAAGTTATTGCAAAGAAAAATATTAATTCCAAAAATGGGCTTTTTCTTTCCACTTCCGTTTGATCACTATCAAACAATTAGATAAGAGGGAAAGAGTGAAATTGTTCTGTGTTTTTTTAATGCTTTCATGAAAGAAAACAAATACCATGTCCTGTAGGTTTGATACACAGGAAAGGGGAAAATCAAAGGAGGTATTTGTGAGCTACGTTCAATCTCAGCGATATAATATTATAAGTTCTTATCTGTCAAGACTTTTTTTTATAATCCATATATCCAAGGAGGGTTTCATTCTTATAGGTAATAGATGTTTGTCACTGCAAAGTAATTTTTCTAAACATCATGCAGAATAGATGTAAAATATTGCTACTTTGAACACTTAGTAAATGAAATCTACCAAGGACTTTTTTGGAGCCATATGCTGTTAAATCACAAATACTCTGGGTAAATGTACTACATTTGATTATTCTCAAGTAATTGAAAAAGGGGAGTTAGCAAAGAACAACCCAATCTTAAGAAAAAGGAGGGGTCGACGCTGTGGCACAGCAGATTAAGCCTTGGCCTGTGGTGAAGGCATCCCATATGGGTGCCAGTTCATGTCCCAGCTGTTCCTCTTTCAATCCAGCTCTCTGCTACGGCTTGGGAAAGCAGTGAAAGATGGTCCAAGTCCTTGGGTCCATGCACCCTCATGGGAGACCTGGAAGAAGTTTCTGGCTCCTGGCTTCAGATCGGCACAGCTCCAGCCATTGCAGCCATTTGGGGAGTGAACCAGAGGATGGAAGACCTGTCTCTCTGTCTCTCCCTCTCTCGGTCTGTAACTCTGCCTCTCAAATAAATAAATATTTTTTAAAAAACAGGAAAAAAGAAGAAAAAGGAGTTAGGGTGGATATAGTAAACATAGAGTATAATGATAAGACAGAATTTTTTCTGGTGCACATTTGGTAGTAAATTATACATGATTTAAAATTCACATGTTATTTTACCCTTTAAAATATGTTAATAATTTTTAAAATATATCAGTATGTAATATACCTAAAAAAAAGCCAGGGTTTATAATAAATGAGATAAGTGTGCTCACAAAGTAAAGAAATATTGCTCTGGTAAAGGCATTAGCAATTTCTATGCATTTATTGACCACCAGGAATGCCACATGTCTGTGAGGAACAGCCAGGTCCCTAACTCAGCACCCTGGTATGATCTCCATGTCAGGAGGGGAAGTAGGGAAGCTGGGCCATGACACAGGCAAATAACATCACAGATGACTTCTGGAAGGGAAAAGTAATTCAGCTGCTATAAGCCTGGGTAGTCATAACCTCTATATTAATAGTCACCATCATTTTTTCCCTCCTCACAGGACCCCTTGAACAACACCTTAATGTTACTAGAGGGACACATGGTTTAGGAAGGAGAAGAAAATCTAAGTTCTGGACCTAAATCTAAATCCTATGCTTACAAATTCTGTTATTTAATCTCCACGACCTGTGTTCTGTCATTTTTACTTTATTTTACTTTATTTATATAAAGTGTGTTCTGTCAATTTTTTAAAGATTTGTTTATTTGAAGGAGAGAGAGAACAAGACTGATCTTCTATCCACAGGTTCACAGCCCCAGGCAGAAGCCCAGGTTACCTCTGTGGGTAGCAGGAGCCCAAGCACCTAGGCCATCATCCACTGCCTTCCAGGTGCATCTTTGGGGAGGTGGATACAATTCAGGACTCCAAGTGGCGCTGTGATATAGGACGCTGGCACTACAGGCAGCAGTTCAGCTCGCTGGGCCACAGCGCCTGACTCTGTTCTGTCATCGTTAAAAGGGGAATTGCTACAATAATTTAGTAAAATTTTTCAGTGTTCACTAATAGCAAGGGATTATGTAGGCCCAAAGAAAAACAGAAGGCATTTCCTGGTTTGGAGACACAGAAGAGTGAATGGGACAGATAAACCTGTGTACACAAATGACTGCCATGCGTGATAGACCGGTTTGGGCTGCAAAGAGCAATGGGAAAGGGATTCCTGGTGTCAGAGAAGAAAGGGATTTTGAGGCTTGCAGTGAGGTTAGATAGGAGGTGGTGAAGGCAACACAGCAGGCAGAAATACGGGTGAGCATCAGAGTGGGGGCCTGGTAGGGAGCGTGGGAAATAAAAACCACCAAGCATCACGTAACTGACAAGCTATTATATCACATCTACAGACCTCAGTTTTCCCTTCAGAGATTCCCACCACGTTCACTGAAACTCACCTTTACCTACAGAAGAATGTTAGAGGAGAAGATGACTCTACATGATTTCTCAGTGTCTTAAACTTTCCCCAGAGATGACTCTGCTTGTCTTGTTAAGCTCCCTGTGAGGAAAAAGATGACTTTGCTTTGGGATTAATTATTATCATCACCTAGCCAAGTTCTCATGTGGCTTGCTAAATTTATAACTCCACTTGAGCAAGTAACTTCTCCCCAGTCCTTGTTCTCAAATCCATCTGCCTCTCACCAGCTTAACCCCATTCCTCCCAGCTCAGAGGCAATGGTGTATCTTGCTCATATTCCCCTTCCACTGATTTGCAGGGTCTTCATTGGTTACTCCCCTGTTAATTTGCCAAATTCCCTTCATCCTTCTGTTTTGAACAGGAAGCCCATCCTCCTGTCCCCAGCTTCTCCTCTCCCACTCTCCATTGCTCATGGGACCACGTCTTCCAAAACAATGCTCTCGTTTCTTTCTCTTCCCATCACTCTGCAGGAGCTCTCTCAGGTTTCTCAGATGATTCTTCTGCCACTAGTCATTCCTTTAAAACATAAATGCCTTGGGGCCAGCACTGTGGCATAGTAGGTAAAGCTGCTGCCTGCAATGCCAGCATCCCATATGGGCTCAAGTTCAAGTCCCGGCTTCTCCATTTCTGATCCAGCTCCCTGCTAACGGTCTAGGAAAAGTAGGGGAAGATGGCCCAATTAAATGGGCCCCTACCACTCACATGGGAGACCAGAAAAAGGCTCCTGGCTCCTGACTTCAGCCTGGTCCAGTCCTGGCTGTTGCAGCCATCTGGGGAGTGAACCAATGGATGGAAGATCTCTCTCTGTAACTCTGAATTTCAAATAAATAAATAAATCTTTTTTAAAAAATTGATGCTTCTCTTCATTTATTCCCAAATCTATCCTAATCCATCCTCAACTCTCAACTCTCATTCCAAGGGACTATTTATCTTCTTTTTTTTTTTTTTAAAGTCAGAGTTACACAGAGGGAGGAGAGGCAGAGAGAGGAGAGAGAGAGATTCCATCCAATGGAATATCGGCTGGAGCTGCGCCGATCCAAAGCAAGGAGCCAGGAGCTTCTTCTGGGTCTCCCAAGTGGGTGCAGGGACCCAAAGACTTGGGCCATCCTCTACTGCTTTCCCAGGCCACAGCAGAGAGCTGGGTTGGAAGAAGAACAGCCAGGACTAGAACCGGCACCCAAATGGGATGCCAGCGCTTCAGTCCAGGATGTTAACCTGCTGTGCCACAGCACTGGCCCCAGGACTACTTATCTTCTTAACTTGAATGTCTGGGCCCGTGCTGTGGCATAGCAGGTGGAGCCACTGTCTGTGGTGCTGGCATCCCATATGGGTGCTGGTTCAAATCCTTACTGCTCCACTTCTGATCTAGCTCTTTGCTATGGCCTGGGAAAGCAGTAGAAGATGGCCCAAGTCCTTGGGCCCCTGCACCCACGTGGGAGACTGGGAAGACGTTCCTGGCTTCAGATTGGCACAGCTCCAGCCATTGTGGCCAACCATCGAATAGAAGACAGATCTCTCTCTCTCTCTCTCTCTCTCTCTCTGCTGCTGCCTCTCTGTAATTCTGCCTTTCAAATAAATAAATCAATCTTTAAAAAAATAACTTGAATGTCTACCAAAAATCGAATATAAAAATGCGCTACTGTTTTAAAGTACCTAAGCCAAACATAAAAACCATTGTGAATTCATGAAAACATCTCAAACCATTGTTGTTGCTGCTAAACTAAACACATTTATTGAGGAAGGGGCATTCAGTGGTGGAAAAACCTGGGACTTTCAAAGCAGAGCAGATATTTAAATAGTTCTAAATTGAGCCTTTATTATGCATCTGGAACCAAGCTAAGAGTTGGGTATACAATAGCAAACCTTGGAACTATGTGATTTTGGCAAATTTCTTAGGACTTATAGTCTTAGTTTTTCTTAACTATAAATAAAAAAACAACTTATGTCCTAAGACTATTGTATAAATTAAGCAAGACGATGTATGTCACTGTCAAGAGCAGCGCCTGATTTAGTAGCTACTTAACAAGTGATAGCTGCTTCCTTCTCTCTCTAGGCTAGATGCCAATAGGGAGCATGCACAGGACTCGAGCCCTGCCTCAAGGAACACAGGCTGGACCCAGCCTCCACTGCTTAGTCATTTCCTGACTCCAAATACTGAACGAAGTGACAGGATAAATGCAAAAGCTCCAAACCAAGTCTTGACTCCTGCAACCAATGATAGTGTGATAAGAATAGAACAAGATGTGAATCTCTCCACTTGACTTGGGCATTCAAGTCAAGTGCATCATGTGCCATCATGTGCAGCAGCCATTCACCAACCTTTAATTGCACACTGTATAAATAAGCAACAAAGAAAAGGACTTGGAGGGAAGAAAGAATGGTGAGTTCAAGATAAATAATTTGGTGCAGTTTGAAATTCTTGCTTGAATAGAGACAGTCACCCAGAGCATTCTGTTTCTTCAAAAACAACATTTGTTGAAATCTGACTCCCTGCCAGGAAGGAGTTGAACTAGGTGTGAACAAACAAGAGATAAAAAGACACCAGTCCTATCCTGAAGGAACATAATTTTAAGTGGTGTTTTCTCAGTTGCCAATGATGTTGGCCTGTGGCATAGTTTTGGATTTGAACAATCCCAAACTTCTGTTTGATAAGGGCAGGCACTATAACACAGCAGGTTAAGCTACCACTAGGGATGCCCACACCCCATGTTAGAGTGCCTGGTTTGAATCCCACCCACTCCACTTTTATTTATTTATTTATTTATTTATTTTTCCTTATTTTTCATTTTTTATTTCTTTATTTATTTCTTTATTTATTTATTTATTTATTTTGACAAGCAGAGTTAGACAGTGAGATAGAGACAGAGAGAAAGGTCTTCCTTTTTCCATTGGTTCACCCCCCAGGTGGCTGCTACGGACGGCGTGTTGCGGCCAGCGTGCTGCGCCAATCCGAAGCCAGAAGCCAGGGGCTTCCTCCTGGTTTCCCATGTGGGTGCAGGGCCCAAGGACCTGGACCATCCTCCACTGCCCTCCCGGGCCACAGCAGAGGGCTGGACTGGAAGAGAGGCAACTAGGACAGAATCCGGCGCCCTGACCGGGACTAGAACCCAGGGTGCCAGCAGGCGCAGGCAGAGGATTAGCCTAGTGAGCCACGGCGCCGGCTTATTTCTTTCTTTTTTTTAAAGATTTATTTTATTTATTTGAAAGACAGAGTTACAGAGAGAGGTAGAGACAGAGAGAGGTCTTCCATCCGCTGCTCTACTCCCCAGAAGGCTGCAACGGCCAGAGGGCCAGAGCTGCACTGATCCGAAGCCAGGAGCCAGGAGCTTCTTCTGGGTCTCCCATGTGGTTGCAGGGACCCAAGGGCTTGCATCATCTTCTACTGCATTCCCAGGCCATAACAGAGGGATAGATTGGAAGAGGAGCAGCTGGGACTAGAACCAGTGCCCATATGGGATGCTGGCGCTTCAGGCCAGGACTTTAACCCACTGCACCACAGCACAGGCAGAATTACAAAGAGGCAGAGGTAGAGAGAGAGGTCTTCCATCCTCTGGTTCACTCCTCAGTTGTCAATGGCCAGAGCTGCACCCATCTAAAGCAAGGAGCCAGAAGCTTCCTCTGGGTCTTCCCACTTGCGTATAGGGGCCCAAGGACATGGACCATCTTGTACTGCTTTCCCAGGCCATAGCAGAGAGATGGATTGGAAGTGGAGCATCTAGGACTCAAACCGGTGCCCATATGGGATGATTTACCCACTACGCCAGAGAGCTGCCCCAACTCCACATTCAATCCAGCTTCATCATCTGTATGCCCCTGGAGGCATCAAGTGATAGCTCAAGTGCTTGAGTCCCTGTCACCTACATTGGAGATCCAGATAGAGTCCCTGGCACTTGGCTTCACTCTGACTCAGTCCCAGCTGTTGCAGCCATTTTGAGGAGTGAATTCATGAATGGAAATCTATCTCTCTTTCTGCCTTTCAAATAAATAAAAATAGATAAACTTTAAAATTTTAATGGACACAAATCAAGTCTCATTTAGAAAAAAAAGCATTGTTTATTTTGAAAATAATGTTTTAAGGTTAATTCCTCAAAATATACAACTTTTCTACATTGTCTTGTACCGCTCCAAAATGTAGACCGTCTTCAACAAATTGATGGACTATGCTCTGAAACCTCAGTTGTAAATCCTTGGTTTACAACTCACAATGCATATTACAAAGAAATTGCATTAGAGTTGAATTTTTTTGCCAAGTTTTTGGCCTGTAAAAGCTGACTAAACTATAATATATTTGAGATAATGATATTAAAGTAATTATAGAGGCCGGCACCGCGGCTCAATGGGCTGGTCCTCCGCCTGCGGCGCTGGCACACCAGGTTCTAGTCCCGATCGGGGCGCCAGATTCTGTCCCGGTTGCCCCTCTTCCAGGCCAGCTCTCTGCTGTGGCCAGGGAGTGCAGTGGAGGATGGCCCAAGTGCTTGGGCCCTGCACCCCATGGGAGACCAGGAGAAGCACCTGGCTCCTGCCTTCAGATCAGCGCAGTGCGGGGGCTGCAGCGCACCGGCCGCAGCAGCCATTGGAGGGTGAACCAACGGCAAAAGGAAAACCTTTCTCTCTGTCTCTCTCTCTCTCACTGTCCACTCTGCCTGTCAAAAAAAAAAAAAAAAAAAGAAAGAAAGAAAGAAAGAAATTATAGAGCCAAGCTTTTATGTATGACAATGATGAGGTGAATTCAGCAAAATAACTGCAAGAGTAGTAATAACTGCAGATCAGAGCTCAAACAGTCCTTGCTCTGTCTTCTACCCGACAGTGGAGTGAAAATTTCACAGATTCACGACACTAGACAGGAAACATCGGGGATCAGGAGACAAAGGACAAGAATTCTAGGGATGAGAAGCTGAAGTGTGGGAATTTTGGGTTGAAGAAGGAGATATGTGGCTGCCAAGACTCAGGTCCAGGGAATAAGGGCTGAAGTGGGGCCACTGTGTTTTACAGTGAAAGACTGAAAGTGGAGATTCAAGGAAGGGAAGTGATGCCTGCACCACACATAGTACGATTCCTGGCTTACAACTGCGCTCAATAAATGGCAATGGAGGAGCTGGAGATGGTGAAATCAAAGCAAAAATGTATAGGTTTTGTTCCCTCATTTGTCTTTTGAAATGCAATCTATTTGTAAAATAACTCTATTTCCAAGCCTGTTTGAGCTTTGAAATGTTAATGGCAGGCCGGTGCCGTGGCTCACTAGGCTAATCCTCCGCCTTGCGGCACCGGCACACCGGGTTCTAGTCCCGGTCGAAGTGCCGGATTCTGTCCCGGTTGCCCCTCTTCCAGGCCTGCTCTCTGGATGCAGTGGAGGATGGCCCAGGTGCTTGGGCCCTGCACCCCATGGGAAACCAGGAGAAGCACCTGGCTCCTGCCATCAGATCAGCGTGGTGCACCGGCCGCAGTGCGCCGGCCGCAGCGGCCACTGGAGGGTGAACCAACGGCAAAAGGAAGACCTTTCTCTCTGTCTCTCTCTCACTGTCCACTCTGCCTGTCAAAAAAAAAAAAAAAAAGAAAGAAATGTTAATGGTAGATAGAATTGGTGGGTCAAGTCAATGACTAGGCCAATGGAACATGTAGATGGAGAAATGTTGTTCTTTTGGGTCACCAATAACAAAGTTTTATGCTTTTGCTTATCCTCTGATCTTTTTCCCTCCCCATCCCACTCTTGTGAGTTACAGGGGTGTGAGTATGGGGAGACAGAATCCCAATCAGAAGCAGAGGTGAGTGGGGTGAGGCCAGGAGAGGGGCGAAAAACTCCTCCTCCCAGCTAGGAATGAGAACCAACTGAGATTCTGGTGCAGCCCTTCCTGCAGCAAAGGCATTCCTGTAAGGAGAGGTTCACATGAAACCAGGTGTTCTCAAAAAAAAAAAAAAATACTGGAAGAAAAAAATGTAGTGCTTCTTGGGGGAGTTTAGTAAAGTGTCATGGTCATTCGTTGTCTATCCTTGGGTACATTTTAGCGCTAAGGAATCTGCCCACACTTCTAGGAATGTCTCCCAACAGAACTCTTCCAATCTTACCCTTTAGCCAAGGATTACACCTAGTTTTAGATATTTCCCTCTCCCCCATGCTCATCTAGGCCAAAAAAAAAAAAATGAACCATATGAAAATGTGCCCAGGTGATGATCTGATTCTGAGGATATGTTCTTTCTACCAATCATCTCAGAAGGAAGTTTGAGAGGACAGTACCCTGACAGAAGGTGTGAGATACATCTGTCAGATAGCAACGATCCAAAATGTCAGTACCATTCTCCTGTACAGTGACCCTCAGACAACATATATTTGCCAAATATGAAGACACTAATGGCCTGGTGTATGAGTTGTAATTGGATCACAGTCATCAGCAACATGGTTACTTGTTGTTATAGCTGTATTAATGAAATTTTGCCTATGGCTTCCTAATTAGAGGAGCAGCATTGGTGATCCAGCTGGCATTTTCAATTTGTTATCTGAGAGTTATGATCAGAAGAGAAATAAGAGCTGACTTAATGAAGTTTCTGGTCAGAGGCTGCTATGAAGACAAAGAGTTATTGAAAGAGACAAAGAGGAACTGATGTCTGGCAAATGCGGCACAAATGCAACAGCAAAAAGAAAGGGAATTTTCTGGATTCAGTTTTGTTGCAAGTGTTAGCAATGGAGGTTTCCTTCCTTCTCAACAGCAGGATTCCAGTGTTATAAACAGTTAGCTATGAAAAGAAGGTTAAAGTTTTTTTAGTTCAGTGATATTGAAGTGGGAATATCCCCAAGGGTCTTTAAAAAGATCTCATTAACAACCTTTTGCAAATTAATGCCTCTCCAATATCATATGTCCATAGGCCTGGGACATGACTTTGTTTCACTCCATCTGAGTTATGAAAATAAGCAGCAGCAGAAAGTAAGGTCTGAGAATAAGCATCTAGATATTGGTTAGGCCTGAATTAAGCAAGGCTGTGCTACTTACTAAGTGTGTATCCTTTTTGAGTTTCTTCAATTATCTGAGACAATGTTCTTGTCTCTGAATTGGGGAAAATAATAGAATATATGCAAAATTATGTATTGAGAATTAAATGACAAAACACTTAGCCCATCACTTGACACATGGTAAGTACTCAGTGCTTAATACAACTCTACTACTACTATTGCTACTACTACTGGATAGGCTGGGCAGAGCCATATGTCCAGTATGTTGAGGTGGAAACAATATTGAGGACCTAGAAGCTGGTTCAACTCCCTGAGAAGGAACCCGAGATCCAGGGGTGGAAATGACCTGCTTAGTACAACCCAGGATAGGACTCTGGACAGGATTCCTGTGCTCCAAATGGTGGGTCTCACACACTGTAGACTACACTGAACTCTTGGTCTCCAAGAGCAAAAGGAATGGGAAAGTGTAGCAGAAATATATTGGCCTAGCAGTCAAAGACTTACAAACTTTTACCTCTCATCTTCTATGGTATGTCTAATATTCTGAAAAATAGTCAATTGAATTGACAAGAAATTGAAGTCTTCCATTATTGCCACCCTACTAAGCCTCCCTTCCTATATGGTCCATGTTCCATTATCTCTGAAGCTTGGATCTTTCTTGCCCCAGAATTTGCAGTGCTTGCTTTCTATTACCTGGGAGGTTGATCAGGAATATGTTGCTAATATTATATGGTAGCATGTGTATGTATTCATATACACATACATACACACTGATGTATGTGTGAGGATACGGATACATATACTGTATTTGTGTCTCTATATGAGGGTGCTTCAAAACATACCTAGAAAATGGAATTCAGACATAAATTTTCGGGGGTTCAAAAAGTTTTTCAAATTCATGCATATGAGTTGTCTTCAAAATATTCATGGAAAATGCATATCATGAAAAACTATACATGGATTCAAAAATCCATTTAAGTGTACTTCAAAGAGTTCATGGAAAACATTTATTGGAAAAAACTATTCATCAATTTCAAACGTTTTGCCCACAAATAAATTTATATTTTGATGCTATCCTTTCCACAAATTTTTGAAGTATTCTCATATGTTTGATAAATGTACATCCATACCAGAAGCTTCTAAACTTTTGATTAATTTCCTTACATATTTTCAGTGATATTTTTCTGATCATTATAGCTATCAGTCAAGACATCATAACAATAACAAACACAAAACACATAACTGGTAGAAGCCTCAGACAGTACCTCTAAAAGTTCATGTACATTTTAAAAGTTGAAGATCTATGAATAATGTGTAAGAACCTTATGACTTTTAAAGGACAATGACAGCTTATTAAAAATCCACTATTCAAGAGAACAGAGGTTGACAGGAAACATGTACTAATCCACTTAAAATCAAACTTAGTGGACCACTCTTAGTCTGTCTTCCTTCTCAGCATCTTCTTTAAAACATTGTATTTCTCGGGACTGGTGCTGTGGCTTAGCGGGTAAAGCCACCATCTGCAGAGCTGGCATCCCATATGAGTGCCAATTCTAGTCCTGGCTGCTCCACCTCAGATCCAGCTCTCTGCTGTGGCCTGGGAAAGCAGTAGAAGACGACGGCCCAAGTCCTTGGAGACCTGCACCTGAATAGGAGACCTGGCAGAAGCTCCTGGCTTCTGGCTTCAGATTGGCCCAGCCATTTGGGGAGTGAACCAGCAGATAGAAGACCTCTCTCTCTCTCTCTCTCTCTCTCTCTCTCTGCCTCTGTAACTCTGCCTTTCAAATAAATGAATAAATCTTTAAACACACACACATTGTATTTCTCTTTCTCTATCATCTATCCTTGGTTTTCGATAAAGTATTACTACTTCTGCTCTTTGTCTCTTTCTCTCTCCATCTACCTCTGTGTCTGTGCCTCCTTCTTCTTTCCATCTGTCTTGTTCTTTGCCAGGATGGTGTGGTAGCCCACATGGCTGCACCCATATTCACTTGCCAGACAAGCTCATACACAGTTGTCTTTCTCCTCTTTTCTCCAATTCCTTTTCAGCCCATGAGCTTCAGTGTCGACGTTCCCTATTCTCTGATTCTGCTTCCAGAATTTGGCTTCCTGCTCAATGTTCCCCTACAAAGGTTTTCTGCTGGATCCCGTCACCAAACCCTCTTCTCCAGGTACTGATTTCTGTGTCTAACTCAGTCCAACAACCACACTCACCTGCTGGTGGTGCCCTTTCTGTTGCTGCTTGAAATTGCATACCTGACCTTAGACTGAATCTCCACCCTGATAAACTTTTGGATGGTCTCCTGTTTCTCAAATACTAACCACTTCCTCCATGATTTCATTATTTTCTCTATCCTATTCTCCTAACATACTTTTCCCTTTTTTACTTTCAATTCTCATTTTCCCCCATAGGACTTATTGTAATATAGGATAAATTTTACCGAGGTACTTATTTTGTGTAAGAAAGATAAGTGAATGTTCTTTAATCTAAATTTCAAAAGCAGGTGAGTAGAAGCAGTTATAATTCAGCTAAGGAGATCACTTTGGTTGTAGCTCTTTTCTTACTGATTATTTTTCTATATATCTCAATTGAGAAAAGAGGTCTCTAGTTTGAGAAAATATGTGGGAAAAGGTCTTAATCTAATTTCTTTCTCTAATATTCTGTTCCCTTTGTGGTTTCAAACATGCTTTTTTTTAATTTTTAAAGAAAGATAGAAGTTTTTTTGTTGTTTTTCAGGTCACTGAAAATGGCTTTTAGAGTAAGCATGTTTTGCAGAAACACTGATTACAGATCTGTCATCTGCAACAATGAAATGTGGGAAAGTCAAGAATAACATAGTTAAATAGCAAGAATTTCAGATTTGGGGAAATAACTGAATCTACGACAAGAGAGTTTGCATACCTATCCTTTTGTTGAAAACAAAAACTTCCTAGGTTCTGAACATCTATAATCATAAAATCAATTTCAATGTATTTATAACTTTGGGTCTACTACATGACTAAGCAGCCCTACAGAAGACTGAAAGAATAGTAGATTCAATCTACTATGATTCATCTAAATGGAACAAAAACTTGGTACTCTCAGATTCATTTCTCCTTCGCTTTGTTCAAACAAGCTCAGCTCCTAGACAAATGGAATTTTTTTTTGACAGGCAGAGTGGACAGTGAGAGAGAGACAGAGAGAAAGGTCTTCCTTTTGCCGTTGGTTCACCCTCCAATGGCCGCCGCGGCTGACGCGCTGCGGCCGGCGCACCGTGCTGATCCGATGGCAGGAGCCAGGTGCTTCTCCTGGTCTCCCATGGGGTGCAGGGCCCAAGCACTTGGGCCATCCTCCACTGCACTCCCTGGCCACAGCAGAGAGCTGGCCTGGAAGAGGGGCAACCGGGACAGAATCTGGTGCCCCGACCGGGACTAGAATCTGGTGAGCCGGCGCCGCAAGGCGGAGGATTAGCCTACTGAGCCGCGGCACTGGCTTGACAAATGGAATTTTTAATCAGGAGTGAAATGTCCCTAGGAAGCATTCCCGTTCCTCATTAACTGGAAGGGCACTGTATATTGTAAAAGCAAGAACAACAACACACGTGGACATGGTAGGGCTGCGGTAATCTGGATGTCTTTCTTGGTTATAATTCGAAGTGATGAGATATTTGAAAATTACTCCCTAAATTATTTTAAATCACCGTGTTCTAATGGCATTTCTGTATTTAGTTTTATGAGGAACTTTTGTATTGTTTCCCATAATGGCTTTACAAAATTACATTCCCACCAATAGTGCACAAGGCTTCCCTCTTCTCCACATCCTTGCTAACACTTAAGCTCTTCCAAGGTTTTCCTTCTTCCTGTCTCAAAAGCAGATGGACCAGCTGGAACTTCAGCACTCACCTTGTGAACCTGAGGAAAGACCAAGAGAGTCTCCAAGTTGCCTTCCTGACAGTTTGCAGCCACTGAAACAACACAGCAACCTGAACCTCAGAACGTATTATTGTTGACAATAGCCACCTTAACAGGTACAAAATAATTGTGATTGTGGTTTTGATTTGTATTTCCCTGACAATTAGTGATGTTGAGCCTTTTTTTCCACCCTGTTGACCATTTGTATGTCTGCTTTTAAGGAATGCCTCTTCAGGCCCTCTGCACATTTTTTAATCAAACGATTTGCTTTCTTACAATTGAGTTCTTTGAGTTGCTTATATATTTTGAATGTTAACCCTTTGTCAGATGTGCGGTTTGAAATATTTGCTTCCATTTCTATGGACTCAGGGACACCTTTACTCAGTTGATTGTTTCCTTACCATGCTCTTAGATGATTAATTAATTAATTAATGAAATCATTGTGAGTATTCCATACACCAGGCATCGTGATAAGTTCTTGGTTGTATGTTGGTAAGTAAACAGATTGAGGTCCCCACAGAATGACTTAAAAGCCCACAAAGAATTTTGTCTCTGCCGATTCCTCTTCCCAAATTCATAGGTGCCATCCCGGCATTTTCAATCTCCTGTGAACTATTCCCATGTGATGACTCTTGTCCCCTCCACCTGGGCCCTGCCATCACTGGACATTGTTACTACCCCATGGTTCCATCACTCGCTTTCCTTGAGATCTACCATCTTCCTCTGTGATGCTCTCTTTGCTCCCTGTTGGTAAGTGAAACTATTGGCTGAGCTATCCAAAAACAACTGCCCCCTGTTTCTACTATGATGCTTCCAAGTAGAGCAACTATGTAGTTAAATTTATATTTCCTTAGTTTCCTTTTTTTCCCTTGTTTCCATATGTAAGCAGACATGTGCTGGAGGGAATGCCAAGGAAGCTCGCTTCCTTGATAAAAAGACACACGTGCCGCTGGTAAGCCCTTCCAAGGTTTTCCTTCTTCCTGCCTCAAACACGGATGGCACAGCTGGGACTTCAGCACTCACCTTGTGAACCTGAGGAAAGACCAAGAGAGTCTCCAAGTTGCCTTCCTGACATTGCTGAGCCACTGAAACAACACAGCAACCTGTACCTCAGGAGAAGTTCTCACGTGAGAAGTAAACCACTATCGTTTAAGCCACTGTGTTGTCATATCATTGGTAAGAAAGCACTGCTGGGTGCTATTCAGTCCTGGGGAAGCATGCACATCAGAATTCTCATGGTTCTTTGGTGCTCATCAACTTTATTCTGATGTCTGCCTGGAAATTCTTAGTCAAATCACCTTGCAGGGCTGAGCTGAGAAGTGTGACAGCAGTATGTGTGCCTCTGACACAACGACTACACAAATTACCAGCTCCACCAATCCTCAAGCATTGGAGTCCATGTATGCCAACCTACTTCAGAGAATTTTAAGACACCATATCTATTAAGACATACCCTCTTATGTCTTAATCTCCTAATAATATGTACTCTAACTTCAAGCTCTGGGAGTATAAGTGCAAATGCGCTCAGATCACTAAGTTTGCTCATTCTAGAGGACAGTCACATTTAAATAAATAATCTTAACTTCACACGCATAAATAATAGAAGTGCTTTCTATCATGGGAAAATTTCTTGATATTTCTCCAGAATTTCCCTCTCTGGATAATATACAGTGTCTTGTACACAATATCAACCTCCCTTTCATTGGAAAATATTTAATCACATCTTCAATTGCTACTTCTTCCTAATATTGACTCTCCAGTCCACTCAAATTTAGTTTCTGTTCTTACAATTTAAATTCTAGCATTAAGTCACCAAAGAGCTGCATGTCACCAAGTCAGTGAAATGTCCAAAATTCTATGTGATCTCTCAGCATCTTTTTTACACAGATTTCTGCTCCTCCTTTCTAATAACCATCTCTTCCCTTGCTTTCCATCTTCCCATGTCTCTATGCTTTCCTTGTTTTTTTTATAGTTCCCTTTATGAATTCCTCTGCCTTTACCTAAACATTTTACTCGACCCAGCCTTAAGCCCTCATTTTTATGTTAATTAACTAATTTGAAATGAATAGCATCAAAGAGAAAGGGAGAAACTAACACAAAAATGGAGAGATTTTCCATCTGTTGGCTCACTCTCCAAATGCCTGCAGAAGTCAGGGCTGGGCCAGGCTGAAGTCAGGAGCCAGGAAGTTCATACTGGTCTCCCACGTGAGTGGCAGGGGCCCAAGAACTTGGATCATCTGTTCCCTTCTCAGGTGCATTAGCAGGGAACTGAATCAGAAGCAGAGCAGAAAGGACTTGAACTAGAACTCCAACATGGGATGCTGATGTTGCATGCACAGCTTAACCTGCTGTGCCACAATGCTGGCCCCCTTGAACCTCTTTTATCTCTACATATTCTCTCCCAGTGTGATTTGACTTGTTCTCATATCTTCAAACACCATCTGTAATCAATGATTTCAAAATTACATCTCCAGCCCAGATCAGTCTTATGAGTTGTAGATATATAGGTCCAAATGTTTATAACACCTCTCTCCATCTGGGACATTTGAATGTGTCATAAGAATCTCAAATACAACATGTCACTTCCAAATAAACTTACTACCTGTAAACACCTGGCTCCAAACCTGCTCCTGCATAGCTCTCCTTTACAGTAAGTGATACCAATAATCTCCCAGATGCTCCAACTAAAAGCCTGAGAGCCATCTTTAACAGTTCTCTCTCCCTCAGCATCTCCCTTCTTCTTCCAATCTAGCTGACCCTGTTTTCTTTTTTTAAAAGAAAAAAAATATTTATTTATTTATTTATTTGAAAAGTAGAGTTACAGAGAGAGACACACACACAGAGATTTTCCATTTTCCATCTGCTGGTTCACTCCCCAAGTGGCTGCAATGGCTGGGGCTGGGTCAGGCTGAAGCCAGGAACCAGGAACGTCTTCCAGGTCTCCCACGTGGATGCAGGGGCACAAGCACTTGGGCCATCCTCCGCTGCTTTCCCCGGTGGAAATGTGGAAATGAAAGTAATCATTTAAAATGTAAACCTGATCAAATCATCCCTCTATCAAAACTCTTTAATGGCTTCTAAGTACTAAGTATTCAATCTCAAATCCTTCTTTATATTTCCTGAGTAAAACAAACTCTTTCTTACCTCAGGACACTCATATTCCTCTGCGGGAATTGCTGCTTCTTCCACATTGTGCCAACTCTTGCTCATCTTTCAGGTATGAGCTTAATTACCACCTTCTAAAGGAAATCACTTCTGATGAGATTAGAAATAGCATTAGGTTCCCTATTTACTTTCATACCACTCTGTGATTTCCAATTATAGGACTTGTCACCATAGTGATTAAATCCTACTTCTGTAAGTAGAGAGACTCTAATTAAATAATATAAGCTACTTGAGGGCAGAGACTAGGTACCTAATGTATTCTCAGTGGCTGGCAGATGACAAGAATGGGTGGCGGGGGCCGGCGCCGTGGCTCACTTGGTTAATCCTCTTCCTGCGGCACCGGCATCCCATATGGGTGCCAGGTTCTAGTCCTGGCTGCTCTTCTTCCAGTCCAGCTCTCTGCTGTGGCCTGGGAAGGCAGTGGAGGATGGCCCAAGTGCTTGGGCCCCCGCACCCGCGTGGGAGACCAGGAGGAAGCACCTGGCTCCTGGCTTCGGATGGGCCCAGCTCCAGCCATGGCGGCCATTTGGGGGGTGAACCAACAGAAGGAAAACCTTTCTCTCTGTCTCTCTCCCTCACTGTCTAACTCTATCTGTCAAATAAATTAAAAATAAAATAAAAAAAATAAAAAAAACGGGTGGCCAACAAGATTCCGTGAGTACATAAAGTGAACTTAACATAGTTCTGGCTTTAAGACATATATTGACTTCCTGTTCTTATATGTTCTTCCTATTCTGACATATGTGATTTTTTTATTTTTATAAAAGATTTTAGTTATTTATTTGACAGGTAGAGTTACAGACAGTGAGAGAGAGACAGAGAGAAAGGTCTTCCCTCCATTGATTCACTTCCCAAATGGCCGCAACGGCCAGGAGCTGTGCCAATCTGAAGCCAGGAGCCAGGTGCTTCTTCCCAGTGTCCCATGGGAGTGCAGGGGCCTAAGCACTTGTGCCATCCTCTACTGCTATCCCAGGCCAGAGCAGAGAGCTGGACTGGAAGAGGAGCAACCGGGACTAGAACCGGCACCCATATGGGATGTCGATGCCACAGACAGAGGATTAACCTAGTGTGCCATGGCGCCGGCCCCCAACATATGTGATTTTATAATATGATTTTATAATTAGTTACCATTTCAATTATAAATATTTATAATTATAATTATTTAATTGACATATTTATATTTCCAGAAGTATTTAATTATAAGAAGGAATAAATTTCTCAAAATTAAAAGAAGTTGTTGGTTTTTCTAAAAAAAATCAGGGACAGACTTTCATTGCTCTTAAAGACTATTGGGGTAGATGTTTGGCTGAGTGGTTAAGATATTGCTTGGAACACCAACATGAGAACGCCTGGGTTTGAGTTTCCACTCTGTTTCCTAACCAACTTCCTATTAACACACACCCTGGGAGGCAGCAGGTGATAGTTCAAGTACTTCAGTCCTTACCACCCATGTGGGATACCCAGACTGAGTTCTGGCTTTGGCATGACCAGGTCCTCGCTATTGTAGGCATTTGGAGGAACCAGTGAATGGAATATTCTCTCTCTGTCTCTCGCTCTCTCTAGTAGTCTTGTTTTATTGATTATGTATTCTCTGAGAAAGCTTTTATTTAATAAATACAGTTTCATAGGTACAGCTTTAGAAATATAGTGGTTCTTTCCCCCATACCTGCCCTCCCACCCCCACTCCCGTCCCACCTCCTACTCCCTCTCCCACCCCATTCTACATTAAGATTCATTTTTAATTATCTTTATATATAGAAGACCAATTCTACACTAAGTAAAGATTTCAACAGTTTGTACCCACACAGACACACAAAGTATAAAGTACTGTTTAAAGACAATTTTTACCATTAATTCTCATAGTACAACTCATTAAGGACAGAGGTCCTACATGGGGAGTAAGTGCACAGTGGCTCCTGTTTTTGATTTAACAATTGATACTCTTATTTATGACATCAGTGATCACCCAAGGCCACAAACTCTGTCAGTATTTAGACAGGGCCATAAGCAGAGTGGAAGTTCTCTCCGCCCTTCAGAGAAAAGTACAGAAAAGTACCTCCTTCTTTGATGGTCCCTTCTTTCCACTGGTATCTCACTCACAGAGGTCCTTCATGTTCTTTAGTAGTCTTAAAACTAAGACTACTAGATGGTCAGTTGTCATTTAAAAAGGGGGAAAATCAACTAATTTAGTAAAATTTGTATTTGCTCACCAAGGTTCAAATATATTAGAATAACATCTCTTATTTTTGAGACATTTTAAAAATTGAATGAAATATAAATTCCATAACTATAGCTATGAGATTAAGACAGAAAAGAAGTTGATGAATGACACTCTAGAAATTTCCTCTTGTAATGCTCTAATACAAGGATGTTACAGCCAGTCTAAGTCCCTGAGGTTCATTATTAATACATGTGGGAATAGAATGAATAACGTATAATGAGAAACCACAGGAGGAAACCCCTACCAAAGAAGATGAAGAATGATGAGACAAATTCTGAGAAAGACTGAATTCTCAAGGGTTCTGATCTAGTGAATAGATCATTACGGCAGACAGAAGTGACAAGAAGAAGGAATTAAAGACGATTTCTCAACCCCAGCTCTCTTGACTTTTTGTCCTGGATAATGCTTTGTTGAAGGGGGCAATTGGTGGATTTTAGGATATTTAAAAGCATCTTTTATCTTGACTCCATGGATGCAATAGCAAATTCATCCATTCATCCTTGAAATAGTGACACTCAAAAATGTCTCCAGACATTGCCAAATAGGCTGTTAAAATTGCTTCTGGTTCAGAATCACTGAATCAGAGAAAGCCAAAGAGGTTCGTTGATTTTAAAAAGGGCAAAAGGATACATGTTTTCTATCATGCACTGATTTATTGATTCTTTTTTAAATTAATGTATTTACTTGAGAAGCAGAGTTACAGACAGAGAGAGGGAGAGACAGAGAGAGAGGTCTTCCATCCACTGGTTCAACCCCCAAATGGCCATAACAGCTGGAGCTGGGCGAGGCTGAAGCCAGGAGGGGAGCCTCTTCTGGGTCTCCCACGTGGGTGCAGAGGCCCAAGGACTTGCACCATCTTCCACTGCTCTCCCAGGCCATAGCAGAGAGCTGGATTGGAAGTGGAACAGCTAGGACTCAAGCAGCGCCCATATGGGACACTGACAACATGGGCAGAGGCTTACGCCATGGGGCTGACCCCACTGATTCCTATTTTCATTCATTCATTCACTTAACAAGACACAAATTTAGTAACCACATTCTAAAGGTGAGTACTACACAGTTTCTCTTAGGACCTGAAAGTCTACAAGGACATAGAAAGGGCATTGCCTTTTTTATTATGGATTTACAATTATGTGAGGTGTTGGTTTTAGTGCATACTCAAAATGAACTAATAAAAGTCCCAACCTCATACAAAATTCATAGTATGCCTGGTTATGGTGGAAATACAGTGAATTAGCATTCAGCTTCTAGCATGGCTTCCTGACCTAAACCAATTGGAGAGTTAAAGCTATTTTGCCCAGAACCCCGGACTACCAAGTTTCTGGGGAACAGATTGACTCTGCATTTAACTGTACTTGCATGAGAGTGAATCTACAAGTGACAAAGAGCTCATCTCTTGCTGCCTGCTTCTCAAAGGCACAATCCTGGAGACTGGGTTGTCCCCAGTAGTGTTCCAGTGTGTGACCTCTTGTTCTGTGTGGGATTGTCAGATCCCTGAATGATGGCTATGGCACTGTGCTCCTGAACCCAGTAGGTTAGGTAGTGGACTTCTAATTCCACCTTCCTACTTTGAGAGAGGGAGTAACACCCTTCCTTTGGAACTTATTCTAAAAGACTCAGCCTTAAATCTCTAGCATCTTGATGAATATATATGGGCCTCATTCCCTGTATCACAGCTCATCTTGCTTAAAATAGCTAGAATGAGTTCTGGGTTTTTGCAAATGGAGTTTGCAAGTCTACACAACAAAGTGTAAGAGCTCAGTAAATCTATCACACACAGTGTGATCACACACCCCCAGTACAGAAACAGATCATGGTTCCTTGGGTTTAGCACCAGATGAAGAATTTGGCTTCCATTTAGGGGCCATGCTGCATGAAAAATATGTTTGCTTTTGTTTGTGTGTTGCTGAATCGATGGAAGTAAAAATATAAGATTACACTCTAAGTTAGTGTAGTGCCAGAGATAAATATGGGTGCAATAAGAAGGTGGTACAGTCAGGGATGATTTTCTAGAGAAGCAACTGAGCTGAGTGTGTGTAGGGATGAGTCAGGGAAATCGCATTTGAGGGTGGGGAAGAGGAAAGAGAAGGCGTGGCTGAGGGTGTTTATCAGAACAGTTGAGAATGCAGAGTACATGCCAGGTGTTCATTGTAGCTGCACTGTACGCGGAGAGGTAGGCAATGTGGAGAAATCATTCGGAGAGCAGAGATAAGAGCAGGGAGAGGGGGCAATGTAACATCCTCCTTCCTCCCTCCCTCCCTCCCTTCCTCTTTCTTTCTTTCTTTCTTTCTTTCTTTCTTTCTTTCTTTCTTTCTTTCTTTTCTTTCAGAGACAGACAAGCAGAGTGAGACAGAGATATAGACAGAGAGAGAGAGAGAGAGAGAGAGAGGGATCCCATCTGATGATTCACTCCCCAAATGCCCGCAACAGTGTGGGGAGGGCAGGTGATTGTGCAAAACTGACTGAGCACTCAATCCAGGTCTCCCATGTGAATAAGAAGGACCAACTACCTGAGCCATACGTTGCTGCCTTCCCAGGACACACATTAGTAGGAAGCCAGAATTAAGTAGAGCTGGCCTGATAATGCAATGCAGGTTTACTAACCAGTAACTTCATTGCTAGGCCAAATGCCTGCCCAACTTCCACGTTTTCTGAAGTTTATGGGCCCACTGATTATGAGAGGCCTGATTCACTTTATGAGATTTCAAGGGGCAAATGGAAACACTACACTAAATGCACACATATGTTTTAAAACTAACTAAAAATATCATCCATTTACCAGCCTAAACTCTTCTTTTTCAATTCCTTCATTGGAACTTATAGCTAACCCTTCTTGACAAATATAGAGAACATACATCCTTCTAAGCCACTTTCAGTCACTTGGCAGTTATATTTAGCTTTCTACCAGTGCCTGTGGTCTTGACTTTTTTAAGATTGACAGTACATTTAAAACCATATCAAATTATATTAGGATTTCTCCCTCTGCATCTCCTTTTTAGTTAAACTCAGAGTTCTGAAGGGTTATGTGTGTGTGTGCACACATGTGTGTGCATGCTTATATGTGATTGAATTATGTTACCTTAGGTCAAACAGCTTCTCTTAAAAGTTAGCTGGAAACTTTTATCATGTCAATATTCAATAACTGAAGAATGAGCCTGTGTAGATGCAAATTAATCTCACAAACTTCTGTCTGCTTCAAAAATGTGTACAATCTTGCAAGAGAGTCAACAAATTCAGTACCTGTTTATGCTACTGCCTAGTGTATGACGGACAGTCCTCTATACACAGCATTGGTTTTCATTTCAGTGCTGCATCATAAAATTACCTTTTGTCAGAAATTCTAAGCAAAAATTTGTTCAAATCCAATTTGTTCAAATCCAATTACTCTTTGTCAATACAAAAGGTTCAACTAGGAGTGACAGTAAGATGAACAGAGATCCTGATGCATGGCTTAGCTCCCATTTACTCAAGAAAACAACAACTCTCTCCTCTACCTGGAAACTGCTGTTATTTTGGCCATAGCATTTCTTGTCTTCAGAAATGGTGAAGTCCAAAGGGAAATAAGCATCTCGGGCAAATTGGAGTCTAGAACAAAGTCCAGGGTGGTCCCCTTACAGCAAAAAAGAGAAAAATCCTGTTCTTTCCCTTTGGATCAGGAGATATGAAATGTGAGCTCCCTAAGCAGGAACATGGCTTGGGATGGGAGGTGGCAGTGTAAAATGAAGACAAGAAAGGGGAAGGAAGTCTTTTTGCTGTGATAAAATGGGTTATTTTATTTAAACACACACACGCAAACCAGAAAGCAAACTCTTCAGTACCAGACCCAAGGGATATGAAATATGTGGTTTTTTTAATCTCTAAAACATGCCTAATCTTCCTTTTAAATTACCATCCTGCTAATTATTGAAATTTATTTTATAATACTTTGATTTTTATGATTTAAACTACCTCCATTCATTTTAAACATTAATTTGGTGTCCCTTAGATGACTCAGTTTTTTGCCTTACAGGTTTCTGCTTCTCCTCCTTCTTGTCCCTAAAACAACATTTAGAATAGAGACTATGGGAAGGAGTGTGGCCCATGCAATCAGTGGCAGCGGGATCCTCATCCGTGCTCTGTCTCTGTCTCCACAGAAAGGTTCCTTATCTGCCACTTAACCTTTCTGACATTTGGGGATGGTGCTATGACTTTGAATCAGTATCCCTCCCCGAATGATTCAGCCCCACCACTGCCTTCTATAGCATAATAGTACACACACATGCACACATCTGGCTTGTTCCCAATGGGGACCAGCTCCTCTGTTTAGCCTATGTCTCAAGCCACTCCACTCTCTCCAGTCAGCCCCTCTGAGAATTCTAGACTGTCCTTCAAGGGTGTGAGAATATATCAATATCTCAGCCACAACTCAAGAACTGAAAATGGCTTAGAAATATGAATTCTGGGGCTTTTTCAGCCTAGGTAATCCTGCTGAGCTTTCTTTGTGTTTTGATGCAGTTACCCCAGTTTGGTGTAGGGAAGCCTGTGACACATCTCCTTGCTGAGTCCCACATAGGAAGAAAAGCAAAAACCCCAAGATAAATGGTGTTTCCTCAGCTTGTCTAATATACCGCACCTCTGCAGTCCAAGACAAAGCCTACAGGGTGATCAGAAGTCATCTCCTGCCGGCCTCACTCTCTGTTTCTGTCTCCTCCATTCCCTTCTTCTTGGACCACGTAAGAGTGTTTCACTTGCTATGAACCATATGTTTGCATTAGTGAGAACAGAAGCTTCTATAACAAATATATCCTATGGTATTTGTGTATTACAACAAAGGAGTTTATGTCTTGCTCCCATTGTCACGGTTCCATCCAGGTGTTCCTGGGCAAATGCCTTTCCATTTGGTTGTGCAGAGGCAAGGTCTCATACGCCGTGTTTTTCTGATCTCTTGGTCTTGGAGGATGCTGCATGTAACGTTGCTATGCATCAAGCCTGGCAATGACACGAATCACTTCCACTTGTATTCCATTAGCCAGAACTCAGTCATGTGAGAATCCTCAGATGCCAATAAGGCTAAGAATTGTAGCCTTTGCATCTCAGAGGAAATGTGTGCCCCATGGAAGAAAGCTCCCTGGTACAGGTCAGACCCAAATGAAAATCTTCTTTACACTAAAAAGGAACCATTAAATTCTGAGCTCTTTGGTCACCATTTTAAATATTCTGAAGGAATTTTAATGATCCTTTTCTATAAAGCCTGATCTTATAATTTAATGTCTTGCTTAAAGTCCTATTTTGAACTTCAGAGACTGCAAGGAACCCTTTTTCTTCTGATGCAATATGTGTAGTCCCACACAATAAACTTCCTTCAAAGTAATGCATATATTTAAGTAGACCAAAGTGTGAAATATTAAAACAAAACAACACTTTCAAAATATTATCTCTTAAGTAAAATTACCGTAGCACTGAATGCTGCTTTTGAGAATTGAGCTTACACAGAAGGAGGCCAGCAGTCTGCTCTCAAACACCACAGGACAAGTTTGGGGTCAAATAGATGTTGAAATCCTCAGCTCTCAGGCCAGCTCATTGTTATCAAATACATCCTCCTTGTCTATCAGGCTTTGCCTCAGCAAGACCGCCCTAACCTTTGACCTTGGAGTGGTCTTGATAGGACTTGCTACAAGTTCAGATTTTTATCCCAAAGTCTGTTAGGAGAGTGGGATAAATAGATTTTCATTTCTTTTTGGAGAATAGAACTTGAAACCTGGCACAAAGTATATGGCAGTGACCCATACAATAAACAATAAGGATCAGAATTTTACTAATTGGTATGAATGAGCTATCAATGAGAAGGGCAACTAGTTGTGAGACTAGGGGAGAAGACCACATTGATGACTGCCAGATTTCTAATCTGAAAGACGTGGAGAATGGTGGTGACATTCTTCAAGACACAGGAGCAGTGCATTGAGAGTTAAGAAATACGATGATCAAAAGAAAGCAAATAGGATGAGTTCAGGGAGCAAGCTTTTGGCGCAGCAATTGGGACACTGCACCCTACAGCAGAGCACCTGGGCTTGAATTCCACCTCTGCTCCCAATTCCTGTTTCCCATTGGTGCACACCCTGACAGGCAGCAGGCGATGACTCTGGTAGCTGGGTCAATGTCACCCATGTGGGAGACTCTGATTGAGTTCCCTGCTTGTGGCCCAGTCACAGCTGTTGTGGACATTTGGGAAGTAAACCAATGGATGACAGATCTCCATCTATCTGTCTGTCTGTCTTTCTATCTATCTACCTACCTACCTACCTACCTACTTATCATCTGTAAAACTATCATCATCATTATCTATCTTTGTTTCTTTGCTTTTTAAATAATTTTTTTAATTTTTGAAGTTCCCCCTACTATCAAATTGACTATCAAATTATAGGGTTCCAGTTGCCTCTTCTATAACCTGAACTTGGATTGGATGACTTCTATTTTATTTTATTGTATTAAAGATTTATTTATTTATTTGAAAGACAGAGTTTACAGAGAGAGATAGAGAGATAAAGAGATATTCTAGGCACTGATTCACTACCCAAATGGCTGCAATAGCCAGAACTGGGCCAGACTGAAGCCAGGAGCAAGGAGTTTCTTCCAGGTCTCCCAAGTGGGTGCAGAGGCCCAAGGACATGAGCCACATTCCACTGCTTTCCCAGGCATATTAGCAGGGAGCTGGATCAGAAGTGGAGCATCAGAACTCAAACTAGTACCCATTTGGGATGCCAGAATTGCAGACGACAACTTTACCTGCTATGTCATGGTGTTAGCCCCCTTTCAAAAATTTTTTTTAAAAATAAATTTAAATTTTTAAAAACCCAGAAGTATGATGAGTTCAATTGTAGATATCCTGGGTTTGAATCTAAGGAACATCAAATTAAAAGATGTTCATTAGTCACTTTGATATATGGATCTGGAGTTTAGAAAATATTGAAAAATATATGGCAGTCAGCATCATAAGAATGGATAAGTGCAAGCCCCTCTCCAAAACCATGTGAAATGAAAAGAGAAGAGGAATGAAAAAGAGACCTAGGGAACATCAACATTTAAAGACTATTCAAGGCAGAAGAAGTAGACAAAGTTCAAAATTAAATATCAGAGGAATAAGGGAAAGAGAAAAAAAGAATAATAAAATTCACAGAATCTTCAATTGAATAAACTGGTTTGAAAGGAATATGAGCTGTTTTAAAGATTTTATTTACGGAGCTGGCACTGTGGTGTAGTGGGTAAAGCCACCGCCTGCAGTGCCAGCATCCTATATGGGCACCAGTTCGAGACCCAGTTGCTCCACTTCCGATCCAGCTCTCTGCTAAGGCCTGGGAAAGCAGTAGAAGATGGCCCAAGTCCTTGGATCCCTGCACCTGCATGGGAGACCCGGAAAAAGCTCCTGGCTCCCAGCTTTGGATCGGCACAGCTCCAGCTGTTGCGGCCAATTGGAGAGTGAACCAGCGGATGGAAGACCTTTCTCTCTCTCTCTGTCTCTCCTCTCTCTGTGTAACTCTGACTTTCAAATAAATAAATAAATCTTAAAAATATATATATTTATTTATCTGAGAGGTAGAGTTACAGCCAGAAGGAGGGAGAGACAGAAAGAAAGGTCTTCCATCCGCTAGTTCACTCCCCAAATTCCTGCAGTGGCCGGAGATGGGCCAGGTTGAAGCCAGAAGCCAGAAGCCTCCTCTGGGTCTCCCATGTAGGTGCAAGGACCCAAGTATCTGAGCCATCATCTAGTGCTTTCCCAAGCCATAAGCAGAAAGCTGGATCAGAAAAGGAGTAGCTGGGACACGAATCAGCAATCAAATGGGATGCCAGTGCCACAGGCAGCGGCTTTACCTGCTACACCACAACACCAGCCCCAGGGATATGAGTTTTTAAAACATCCTTGCTTATGGAGTGCTGGTGACGCTGAGCTCATTTCATCCAGATTTTCCATTCCCCTAATCTGACCGAAGTTTTCAAGCACCCATTCTTTGGTGGGTGCTGAAAACTGTGAGAAAGAAGGACTTATTCACACCCTGCAGTGGGGCAGAGATTAGCTTACAGCAAAGCCTTGCACATGGATAGGGACCAACACTCCTTCTGGACAGTCACCAGGTAAAGTCCTAGAGAAATCACCACTGGTTTCCAACGACACAGCAACAGCTGAGTCCCTGGGTGGTGAGGACACAGGCCCCACTAGCAAAGCCCTTGGACCCCTGACAATGCCTTTTAAGTGGCAGTGAGGGTCCTTCTCTGAGACAGACTCCTTGCTGATTGGACTCGTGCTTTTTGGTCCAGCCATTTGCTTCTCAATCCGTAAGCTCTCTGTCCATTTCCTCCGTCTTTCTCCATCTGCAATACAGGCTTAGGGAGATAGTTTTCGTGTGGGGCACCATGAAAAAGAAGCTTTGCTGGCCGGCGCCGCAACTCACTAGGCTAATCCTCCGCCTAGTGGCGCCGGCACACCGGGTTCTAGTCCCGGTTGCCCCTCTTCCAGGCCAGCCCTCTGCTGTGGCCAGGGAGTGCAGTGGAGGATGGCCCAAGTGCTTGGGCCCTGCACCCCATGGGAGACCAGGAGAAGCACCTGGCTCCTGCCATTGGATCAGTGCGGTGCGCCGGCTGCAGCGCGCCGGCCGCGGCAACCATTGGAGGGTGAACCAACGGCAAAGGAAGACCTTTCTCTCTGTCTCTCTCTCTCTCTCTCACTGTCCACTCTGCCTGTCAAAAAAAAAAAAAAAAAAAAAAAAAAAAAAAAGCAGCTTTGCTCTCATTTGTGCTCCTCAAGGAATTGAAGGGTTTGCTTTTGTTTTTGTTTTTGTTCGCTCTAAAAACAGACGCTTTTGGTTTCTCTTTCCCACCTTGTCATGTCTGTGCCCTAAATCACTGAGCTTAGCTAACCGAACTGCTTGAACTGAGGGTGCGAAGCAATGTCAGAGGGAAAAACTCTATCAGTGGGAAAACGTTATGACATAAAATATTAGACTGATTTTTAAAAGCTGGATAGTGTTGAATGGATGACTTTTGGACATAGTATACAAACAACATCATTTGTCTGACAAGATAAAATAACAATAGCCAAAAGTCTAAGGGACAAAGCAGAGCTTTGTCTTCCTTCTGAAGGAACACTCAAGATAAAGTATTAAATTCTTACCGATGCAGATTGTTCCAGGGCCAAATCTCCCCTCCATCCCAAGAATGGATTCGTTACTTTCAGTTGGACACTGTCTCTTTGGGGACCATTGTGGTGCAGATTTGTGTGAAAGCTGAGTTTCCTTCTAATAAGGAGATATTGCAGAAGGACTCATGTCCTCATTACACAACACTGTCTCCAGACTCTGAAACCTACTTTAAGCAGAACTTTTTGGACAATGTTACTTTTTTTCCATCACATTCTTTTGTACTTCAAGAAAAATAAGAAATAATAATTTATATCACAGGGAAAATATTTTAAAATACAGAAAGTGGAGGCAAATGTAAGCTAATAGAATTTTCTTAATTATAGGAGCAACTGAATGTAACAACGATATGGTCAGGAACATTAACTATGGAGCCCGATTGCCTGGACTGAAGTCATTAAATTGCTAGCTCCATGGCATTGGACATGTTTTCTATCCTCTCTATTCCTTGATTTCCTCATCTAAAAAATCAGTAACAATTCCTGCCTCACAGTATTGGAAAATCATTAAGATTTTTAGGACACTGCTTGGCACATGCTAGGCATTCAATATCTATGGACTATTATTTTACATTCTCCAAAATCTTTCAGCCTATTATTGTTTTATCTTATTTTCTTCCATTCCAAGGATAATAATTGCTAAATAACAATGCAAATGATGAGAATGAATTTATAATAGGGGCCAGCGCTGTAGCACAGTGGGTTAAAGCCCCAGTCTTCAATGCCAGCATCCCGTATAGCTGCCAGTTCAAGTCCCAGCTGCTCCACTTCCCATCCAGCTCCCTGATAATGAGCCTGGGAAAGCAATGGAGGATGGCCCAAGTCTCTGGGCCCCTGTATCCACATGGGAGACCTGGAAAAAGCTCCTGGCTCTTGGCTTTGGATTGGCTCATCTCTGGCCCTTGCAGCCAATTGGGGAGTAAACCCAAAGATGGAAGACCTCTCTTTCTGTCTCTACCTCTCTCTGTAACTCATCTTTCAAATAAATAAAGTAAAATCTTTGAAATATATACTATATAAGTATACCATATAAGTAATTATATATATGTATATATGTATATATATGTATGTGTGTGTGTGTATATATATATATATATATATATATTAGGCCTAAAAGGAGGATCCAGGTTTTTGCTTCAGAGTGGCGTGGGTATCTTGGAAAGACATCATTGGAGAGATGAACTCTACTCTGACAAATTACAAAAGAAACAAAATTCAACATAAAATAAGACACAGTTCTCAATAACTAATTTGACTCACATTGTAATTAGTTCACACAACCTTATTCTAAAATTTACCCCAAAGTGTTCATTTTAGTGGCTACAGGTAGAAACAATTTACATACGATTTACTATTTTAATGTATTTTCGTAGAATATGGGAAAGCAATTAATCCATTTAATTCAGTAACAAAGTCATTCCAATAAAAGTAGGAATTATTATTAATCTGGCATCATCAGGAATATTTTTAAAAGATTTATTTATTTATTTGAGAGGCAAGTTACAGAGAGAGGGAGAGACAGAAAGAGGTCTTAAATCTGCTGGTTCACTCCCCAGATGACCACAACAGCTGGAGCTGGGCCAGTCCAAAGCCAGAATCCAGGAGCTTCATCCAGGTCTCCCATGCAGATACAGGGGACCAAGCACTTGGGCCAACTTCCACTGCTTTCCCAGGCCATCAGCAGGGAGCTGGATCAGAAAACGAGCAGCCAGAACTCAAACTGGCACCCATATGGGATGCCAGCCCCACAGGTAGAGGCTTAACCTACTGTGCCAAAGAGCCAGCCCCATCAGAAATATTTTAAACCTCATTTTGACAATGTCAGTGGGGAGAAAATAAAGAGTAAGCAACTGAGTCTAAAGTTAGAGATTATAGTCAGACTGCTACTGTAATGGAGTTTTCATTACAAATTAAAAGGGACAGAGGATTCTAACACAGAGGATTAGCCACTCTGACACTTGGGCCCAAAAGGCTAAGGAGAAATATCCTTAATATTAACCTAACACAGTGACCTCATTACTCTTTAGTCAGTGTAATCCTTAGCCATTAGCTGAGATATAGATTTTTGTACATGAGGGTATTGTTCTCCTTGTGAAATAAATGCCTTCAGAAATATTTCTAAAAACTTATTATAAAAGCTTTCTGATGAAGCTGTAGGGTAGTGGCAAGAATGTGGAGGTAGACAGAATGCTATTTTTAAGACTCTAAAATGACTTTCTGATGCAGAAAATAAAATAGTTTGACTCGGACTTTGGATTTATAGATGGCTTTCTTGTTGAAACAGGACAAACTTCTTTCTTGAGGGATTCTATATTTAAATGAAAAGATTAAAGTTTTTGTTGGGCAGACTCATAGAATGACAAATGCCCTAAACAGCACTCTGGCCTCAGTATCAACCCCAAGGCATTCGGATCTAGCTAAAAAGCCCATGAGAGTTTCTCAGCCATGGAAAGCCAAGACACTGTGGCAAAAAATGACCTAAATGAAAGATCTCTGTGAGTGAGATCCCATTGGAAAGAACGGGTTATCAAAGAAGGAGGTACCTTTCTCTGAAGGGAGGAGAGAACTTCCAATTTGATTATGGCCTTGTCCAATAAGATTGGAGTTTGTGAACTCAAGAGGCTTCCATAGCGTTGGCAGCTCACGACAAGAACCTCGAGTGATTATTGACATCATAAATAAGAGTGCCAATTGTTAAATCAACAACAGGAGTCACTGTGCACTTGCTCCCCATGTAGGACCTCTGTTTTAATGTGTTGTACTATGAGAATTAATGGTAAAACTAATCTTCAAACAGTACTTTATACTTTGTGTGTCTGTGTGGGTACAAACTATTATAATCTTTACTCAGTATAGAGTTGATCTTTTGTATATAAAGATAATTAAAATCAATCTTAATGAAGAATGGGATGGGAGAGGGAGTAGGAGATGGGATGGTTTGTGGGTGGGAGGGTGGTTATAGGAGGAAGAACTGCTATAATCCAAAAGTTGTACTTTCTAAATTTATATTTATTAAATAAAAGTTTTCTATTAAAAAAATAAAGCTGCTGTTGGGTGAGGTCAAGGTATTTTGATAAAAGGTGACCAGGTGTATGTGTATAGTACATATGTATTGTAAAAGTGTATGTGGTGTGTGCTTTATGCATGTGGATGTATGCATGGCTGTATGTACATCTTTCTTTCATGATGCACACCCATGGTTTACCAGCTCAAGGGAGATGCGATGTGGATTGCTCTCAGCTCAGGTCTGTCCAGTATATGTGCTCAGGGAAAGGCAAAAAACTTGATGAAGTTTATATTCTTGCTGAGATCAGCCCGTATCCAGTGACTAGTCAAGCTGTGGGTACAAAAGTCAAACCAATTTGCCTCAATTCACAGCAATGTTAAAGGCTCTCCCAGCTACAGAGCTCCCTGTGGCGGGAGCCACAGCAAGCTTTTGTTAACATGTGTGCGTTGCCCTCTCTGCTTCTCGTAGGGGTTTGCACTGGAGAGTCACCCCAATTAACTTCCTGAACACAAATCTCTATCTTGAAGCCTGTCTCCAAGGAACCCAAAGTAAGACATGATAGCTGTTACTATCATTTTAAGCTAAAGCTTGGATTACGGACGTAAATGTTGATGGGCGATGAAGGTGTGATGAATTCCTGAATTTAGTCAAGCTACTCATTGATATATACCAATAAAAAACTAAGATATTTGCTTATTATTTCGCTAGCCCGATACCTTGTGTGTCTTTTCCCAGGGCAGAATCCCAGACAAGTGTCTAAATCATTATGCCCATCACTCTTCCAACCACCTAGCCAATTATCACCACCATCTTTGAAAGACAGAAGTCTTAGGATTTAATGATCCTTCAGAACAGAAGGATTCATATCAGGACCAGGCCAATAATGTTGCAGGAAAGGATAGTTGATAGAACAAAACAGTGTATCTTTCTAAAATAGACAAAATACTGTACTTAAGAAAAGCAGTAGGTGACAGAGAAATCCAGCAAAGTGTCATCAGGACATGTCAACCATGGAATATAAATTGAGAATAGGTGTAACTGAGAAATCAAAGCACACAGGCAGTTTATAAGAGATTTAGAAGCAACAGAGGCATGAAACTGAGGTTCAGAGCTAGGTTCCAGCCCACACAAGTGAAGGCCCTAGGCTCAAGCTTGATGAAAGAGTAAGTATCTAAACAAGAGCCACCATTTGACTCTTTCTAGAGTGACATGAGGACACTATAAACTGGGACGTGGGCTCTCACCAGATACCAAATCTTCCAGTGCCTTGATCTTGAACTTGTAAGCCTCCAGATATGTGAGAAATGTTTGTTTGTTTGTTTGTTTGTTTGTTTTTAAATTACCCAGTCTCTAGTATTTTTTATAGCAAACCAAGCATCCTAAGACAAAGGGAGTGAGGCTGGCACTGTGCCATGATAGGCTAATCCTCCAGCACCCCATATGGATGCCCGTTCTAGTCCTGGCTGCTCCTCTTCCAATCCAGCTCTCTTCTCTGGCCTGGGAAAGCAGCGGAAGATGACCCAAGTGCTTGGCCCCTGCACATGTGTGGGAGAACCAGATGAAGCTCCTGGCTCCTGGCTTCAGATCCAGCTCCAGCCATTGCAGCCATCTGGGGAATGAATCAGTGGATAGAAGACCTTTCTCTCTGAATCTGTCTCTTTCTGTAACTCCACTTCTTTAATTGAAAAAAAAAATACAAAGGGAGAGTGGATATTTTGGGAAAAGCAGAAAACCCATTCTTGCTAAGGAATTTTGAAAAACCTTCTGCAAAGAAACTGTAGGTGTATGAGGAAATGATAATCCGTACACCCCACTTATTGCTGGTGAGAAATAACTTCCTCCACAAGAGTACAGAATTGGCAGATTCTCCCAAATGTAAACCCCTGGAGGCCTTCCAAAAGGACTGATAGTTTATTCTCGACATTTATTCACCAGCCTGAAGAGGTTTAAGCTCATTAGATTTTTCCCCTGCGGTTCTGATAAAATAAAAAAAAATCTACTGAGCCTAATCTACATTGGTTTAAATACACATAAAGAGATTAACTCAGAAGATAATGATGATGGTATCTTATGTGTGTTTTACATTTGATAAAACTTGATCACCCATTATCTCCCTTGAAGAATGCTATGTATGTTACCTATATTTTATGAACGTGAAAATGGAAGCTGGAGGTGACACTCTAAGCGGCATGTTATCAGGAGGTGTCAGAGCAGGGACAGAAACAGAGGTGCCCCGATTCCTAGAATAATTGTCATCACACCGTTCTGTTGAACCTCCGAAAACCTATCACACCAAGACAGAGTAGATATCCTGTGAATATTCAGTAAATGTTAATTAAAGGAACTCTGTGATTAGCATGGCTCAACTGCAAATGACATTTTCTGCCACCTAGTGGATTACTAGACCCAAGCAGTGAGGACACCTTTGGGAGGTCAGATGTCAAACACAAAACTGTTTGGAATACAGATTTTCTAAGAGTCTTCACAGGTATACACTCCAACAGATTGCTTCTTCGGGAAGCAATGCAGATGCTTCAGCATCCAGCAGCCTTGTTTCTGTGTATGCATGTGTATGC